CCTAAATCTAACAATTTTATATGGAGGGGGGCTTGCAGGCCGAAACCAATTACATACGTAAAATAGTCATTGATTATGGTACGAAAATGAGTGGTGTGGACAGAAGTGATGGAATAATTGTATCATATACACTTGCGAAAAAAAGGATAAAGAAGTATTATAAGAAAATATTTCTCCACCTCATAGACGTTATCTATTTGAACTCATACATTTTACATTTTAAAAAAATAGAAAATTGAGTTGACTGAACTCTTTACTGAAATGTGTTGAGATGTATGCAATTCAGCAAAAAGAAAATTTCTCAAATTGATCGACCATTTACATCCGCGAAACCTACATGGCTCATCGGAACTCATTTACCCAATTTTATACCGGCTACTCCATAGAAAGCAAATCCCCTCCGAAGATGTGCCGTCTGTTCAAAAAATGGAGTCCGTAAGGAGTCAAGGTATTGATGTATGACCTGCGAAGTGCCACTTTGTGTGGTACCGTGTTTCGAAAACTACCACATCGAAATCAACTGAATTTCTTAAAATTATTTTCTTTCTTTAATTATTTTTGTTTGTGTATTTTAATATTTTTTGGCAACTTTTAAGTTTTTAATAACAATAACCTTTTCAGAAATAAACTGTTAATTTTTTATCAAATAAAAATGTAATCCTTCCTCGTTTTTCGTAAAATTTATAATAGGACTATTTGTCCTGCGTTCGATATGTATACTCGTCATTGCTTGATTCTAATTCAGCACTCTGTAGGGGATTTTGAAAACTACATTCCGCAGTTAATAAGTTAAACAGAAACGCAAAGAAATTGCTCGTTCAAGATTGCCAAGATCAAATACCCTGCCAAAGGCACAATCCCTCATGGACAGAGAATTTATCGAGAGAAATGTGAGTAAACTAAAGAAGAACAGAAAGTTATTACTAGTACAACTGATTTATTTTTCAAACTTAAAACTTACAAAAGTTGTTATATATAGTGTAACAAAAATGTTACTACAGACTCCCCTCCGCCTCCTGGTTCGAGGTCCCATAGGCCTCGAGTATTGCATTTTAGACTTAATTATTGTTAATTGCGTTTATTTAGTGTTAAGACCCCCTCCCTACACCCTTCCCTCCCTGTCACCCTTCCCCCGTAGGGCACTGGCTGGAGGACCATCGCCGAGGACCAACCACCAGCACCAGCAACAAGGACATCGCTGTGGACCTGACACGCGGGCACAGCATCCCTGGATGGACCGCGAGAGCGGCTACGTCGCCGAAGCAGCGGAAGGCAGGGATGGCATGGGCAGGAGGAATATCAGATCGAGTCGCCCGTGGGATGGATGCCCAGCCACGACCATCGCCACCAATATATGCAGCCCCGGTACAGTCCCGTCACACGGGCAGGAAAAAGTCCCGTGTGACAGCGGCGGAGCCCTCTCCCTCCGAGACCGCAGACGTGCCAGGGAGATTTCTGACAGGCCTGGAGGCCGCCATCTTGACCGGCGCGCGCAGTCAGCACGCGTGCCGGCAAAGCCAGCGCCGTGCCGCCGACACGAGGCCCTGGAAGGCCCGGCGAAACAACTGATTTGAACCAGACCAATGCCCTGCCATGCCGGAACTGCCAACCAATGCCAAAGCACGTAGACCTCTCAGCTGAGCGGCCCCAGCCAACCAACGAGGCCCTGGAGGCCCACGAGGGACAGAACAACCGGATATCGGCAAGGAATCGTCACTTCGAGCCAGGATCTAGTAGCGAGCGAGCGAGAATTTAGCGTGTGCGAGTTGCGAGTAAGAGTGAGAGTGAGAGTGAGTGCGATTTGGAGTCTGTTATTAAGGATTATCAGTGTTGCGGATATTCGAGGGAGTACTGAGTGACTGAGTTTCCCATATTTGCCATCCCTTCCTGATCACCCCCTTTTGAATTTGCTTTGTAGATTTTGTAGTTCCCTTCAGGACGTCTGCGAGTTGGCCAACGTGGCCTAGGATTTTGATAGTCTGCGTTGTATTTGCGACGGGCCTTCCGCCCTTACACTCGAGGCCCGTGGTATATTGCGTGCGCCCTAATTTTGGTATCTTGCGTCCCTCCCCGACAACCCTCAGCCCTTCCCTCTCCCCTCACCCCCTTTTTCCCTTTTCGTGTTCCCACCGAGGTAATATTCAAGTAGCCACTTTGCGATCGAGAACCTTCCTCCCTGAGACCCCCTCACCTCTCCCTCCGCTAGCCGTGCCATATCCCGTAAAGTAAACAAACGAGGACCTTTCGGGGTCACTCGTTGGTGCTACACCGTTACAGTAGCTGGCGCCCAGATATTGTTCGAGTACCATTCCTTAGCTGACAGCCCCCCCTGTCCCCCCTTGTCGACACCGTACCCCTCCGCTCCCCGACCCCCCTTTCCACCGAGCCCATTTAAAGCCCTCCGATACCGCGTGCTCCTGAGCGAGTACACGCGTGCCTATTTTCATTTCTGCTAGTCTAAGTATTCTATTTCGGATTATATTTTCTTCTCTATTTTGTTATATTGTATCAACCTCAACTTATCTCGATTAATTATACTTTCTTTTTATTTTACACCGTGTCCCCTTTCTTCAATTCCCTCCCCCTCTCCCGTGTTATTGAGATAGCTGTATTTGCGAGACCCTGGGCCACGAAAGTGGCCACATCACAACAGATACACAACAGATAAATAACATATAATATTGTATATTTGAATATACAGAGTTATTCAGTAGAAACGCACCAGCTGTACCCAAGTGGCCGACACAGCAGTGCGACCTCTCCAAAAAATGACACCTAGGCACAGTTCATCGTGACTACTTTATATAAGTACACACTGACAGTTACATAGAAATAAGTTAGGTTATTGAAATAATTAATAATCTCCTTCTGCCACTGATTAAGGGAGAGGTGAAGATAAGAAAACTGAATAAACCTAGGTCCTCAGATTCCCCAACACTCTTTGGTAAGCCTCTCCTATGTTTCTACCGCACCGCTTTTCCAGAAATATCCTAACACTTCTGTGAATCCATTTTAGATATCTTAAAACTATCCTAATAGTTATTGCAATCTGTTGTAAAAATAAAACTTGACTGATATTACAATTTGTCATTATAATACTAATATTAATTAATAATTTCAATAACCTAACTATTCAAATATTTCAATAACCTCTTATTGCTGTGCGAACTGTCAGTGTGCGCTTATAGTGCAGTCAATTTAGATGTCGCATATGAAGTTGAAGTTCAGGGTATGAAAGTTACAACAATCGATAGCTAAAGGTCCCCTTAGGAAAATATTAATTTGTATCAGCTCAATTTTCAGGGCCTGATTAATAATGAATAAAAAAGAATCTAAGATTTGTAATATTTGCAAGTAACCGACTTTTATCCTCCATTTCTCCACTATTACTCAGTCAATCAAAAAAAATGAAATTACTAATTTGTAGTGGGGAAAATGTATGATCAAACTCAGTCAAAAAACTATGGGAGAAAATGCACGGTTAATTTATTATAATTTTTTAAAGTAATTTGTAAGCATTTTGTCGCCAACGCGTCAGTTGATTCTTTTCAATGACGTCTAGGCCTGAGTCACGTGATGCGCGCCATGTGCAGATTATTCTACTGTTCAAGCTGCGCATGGCGTAAAATGTTTACAAATTACTTTAAAAAATTACAATAAATGACCCATGCATCTTCTCCCATAATTTTCCGACTGAACTTGATGGTAAATTTTCCCCGCTACAAATTAGTAATTTCAATTTTTTTTATTGACTGAGTAATAGTGGAGAAATGGAGGGTAAAAGTCGGTTAGGCGCAAATTTTAGATTGTTTTTAATTAATTATTAATCTGGCCCTGAAAATTGAGTTGATACAAATTAATATGTTCTGTAACGTAGCGTTACAGAGCTGGAGGGGATACCACCTAGGAATGACCGAAAAATAAATAAATAGGACTTATCAGGTCGGACAGTGGGTTCAGTGGCACAGTGGTAAGTGCTCGACTTGGCAGTCCGAAGGTATCAGGTTCGAATCCCGATCAGAACTCCTAATTTTTCGGAAATTCCTAGCCCTCTAGTGCTCCCTGGCGGCTCTATGGATATAAATTAATTATAGCGGGGACGAGCCGGGCACCCCGTTATAGTTCATAAGGGGACCTTTAGCTATCGATTGGTGTAACTTTTATACCCTGAACTTCAACTTCATGTACACCATGTATTCAAAGTCTAGATTGGCCGTACAATTATATGAATCAGGGACGGTGAGCAGTCCCTAGGTGTCATTATCTTCGAGAGGCTACACTGTCGTGTCGACCATTTGGACCCAACTACAGCTAGTGTGTTTCCACTGAATAACTTTATATATTATTTCCTGTGTGTTATTTTATGTCAGTGAATCCAACGAAAATGTTTATAAATTATTAAATAATTTTGAGGTAACAGAATCCAAATTTAGGAACCAAGTTTTAGAAATCAAGATAGCCTATACAACATGGTAGATATCAAACTAAAAAAATTCAGTTTGAACGGATGGCAGAAGATCATTGATGAGAGATGACACCATCTATTTGAGCAGCAATTTTTCTAATAAATCAAGTTACTTTAATATGTAGAAATATTAAAATTATATGATTGTTATTTTATTTATTGGACATACATTGCACCAATAGTGGTTCAACATTAAGAAATTCTTGTAATGACCATTCGTAGCCATTCATAGTCATCCATTACTCGCTTTGCCACAATACTGCCGACCAAATTTGAAACGATCTTGGTATATCATAAATTCATGTTTGGCTTATTATTAATTCTCAGGTTTACAAATACCGCAATTATCTTGACGAATAATAACAAAATATTACTAACAATGAAGCATTTCTTGACATTATCGTTTTGATCGTATCGTGATACTAATGACTGACATTAACACAATCCTATACACTAATGGCCCAGGATTGGCACGATTGCAAATTTCCATGTGGGAACACTTACAATCAGTTGCGTCATTAAAGTATTTACTTACCTTTAGATTTGCAGATGTAGAAATTAATGCTTCATGTAGCCATTCTGATCCACTGGAATCTGAATTACTTGGACAAGGCGACAGCGGCAATCGAGAATATGGGCTTCCTGGTACAATTTTTATTTCCTCCTTAATTTCGTTTTTTTTTTGTAAATCTGAAAATATATATGTTCATAATATAAAATTATAAAAAATCTGATGTCTAAAGCAGACGCAAACATTGGCTTCTTTTGGATTTCGGGTTTGAGCCGCGTCTGGAAGTTTTAATTTGCTGACGTTTTGCCTCTCTCTCTCTCTCTCTCTCTCTCTCTCCCCCCTCCCCTCTCCCTCTCCCTCTCCCTCTCCCCACTGCAAAGAACCGTGGGAATTCATGCATCTGTACACAGGGGGTGGTTTACCCCCTTAAACGTGACTTCCCGCAAAAAAGCAAGAACATGTAAACTTTAATTTTACTTCCTCTTTCAAATGGTACGCGTTTCATTAAATTCCAATCGTAGGTTTTTTAAATAGAGTGAAATAAAAGAATAATCAAGGGGTGTCACCCCCTCAAGAGACAATTTTCTTTAATGTCTAGGTGCATTTTACATTACTCGCGATGAGAAACATTTTAGTTTTTGTTTCATAGAAATCGGTCGATCCCTTCTATGTAAAACTGCATTACCACCCCTCGACATGCCAAACTTTGGGGGTTGAGGGTTGATTTCACCCCCTAAAACCGTTTTTCCACCGATAAAAAAAAAACGTGTCTCTTAGACTTTCATGCTGTTGTAAACCATAATATAGATTTGGAAACGCGCCTACGTCAGAAGCGACGGAATGGCCACGCTGCGACGCGGCACATTCCACTCGCCAATATTATGGAAACAAAGGAGACACATCACCGACACCATGGCGAAATATAGAAACAATCCTTGGTTATTGTATCTCTAAAAAATTCCATAATTAAGATTATAAAAAGCGGACGGCCTGTCGGCTCGTCAGACGAAGTAGAGAGCTACGAGTGAAGCGTTACTACGGTAACTTAGTCGAAGTACTAACCTCTAGCCTCGTGATTTCGTACTCACCACGTTTACGGTTTATTTCAATAGTGTATCCTAACGTAACTTGTTTTGTTTCAAATAAATCTTTTACTTGTTATCGAGAGTTAAGTTCCAGCTTTTTACTCGGGCAACGAATCCCTAAGTACCTGACTCCCGAAAACCCTTTCCGGCAGTCAAATCCGTGAACCCAGTATTTGGGCTCACAACAATTGGTGGCAGCGGTGGGATTGCCAAAGTGTTTCGGTAAAATAACCAAACGCGATTGAGACTCTCAAAAACCCAAGTATAAAGTAAAACAAGATCTACGTACGCGCTATTAAACAAACCTAAGTGAAAAAGATAAACAAAACCTAAGTGAAACAAAAAACGAAACCTAATTGAAAAAAGAAAAACGGATCCACCTTCCCAAGGAGGAACCAGGATTCGACACCAAGAGGCGAAGCGTTACTACGGTAACTTAGTCGAAGTACTAACCTCTAGCCTCGTGATTTCGTACTCACCACGTTTACGGTTTATTTCAATAGTGTATCCTAACGTAACTTGTTTTGTTTCAAATAAATCTTTTACTTGTTATCGAGAGTTAAGTTCCAACTTTTTACTCAGGCAACGAATCCCTAAGTACCTGACTCCCGAAAACCCTTTCCGGCAGTCAAATCCGTGAACCCAGTATTTGGGCTCACAACAATTGGTGGCAGCGGTGGGATTGCCAAAGTGTTTCGGTAAAATAACCAAACGCGATTGAGACTCTCAAAAACCCAAGTATAAAGTAAACAAGATCTACGTACGCGCTATTAAACAAACCTAAGTGAAAAAGATAAATAAACCTAAGTGAAACAAAAAACGAAACCTAATTGAAAGAAGAAAAACGGATCCAACTTCCCAAGGAGGAACCAGGATTCAACACCAAGAGGCCAGAGCAACGACTCACGACCTACAGCAAGCAGAAAGACGACATCCCCATTGGCAGCTCCTATTTCAACAAAGAATGCAGAACTACGTGTTACTGTAAGTTAAGATAATATTAACTCAGCATTAAGCAAACCATTGTAAACCGAGGCTAGCATAATTGCAAATGTCTCCTAATGCCTCAAAACGATTCTAATCGCGACTCCGTGTTAGGACAGACAGGTTCGCGATCAGTAGATTCATATTTAAACCGCCACTCAGAGCCAGTAGTCGGGGAAAACATACTCATAAACCGAAGAGAGGGTCCCAATAGGACACCCCTTCCTGCAGCACAGAGAAATCTCTTACCTACTTTAGAGAGGCTAGGAAACGACAACGTCAACCTAAATAGACAGTGGGCACACGAGTCAACAAATTACTCTCTACTAGACAATATGGCTCAGCCAGAGCAGGAACAAGCGGCACCCACAAGGGAATCTCCCAGACCGCCTATTGAATCATTCTATATAAACGATTCCGCAATAGATCGCGAAATATCAAGATTGCGAGAACAGGTCGCGGATTTACAAGCCCGTTTCCCTGCACCAATAAGGCCTAATAGGAGAAGAACTCCAACTATCTATATGACATTAAAATAAGCCAGAGGGACACTTAAGGTATTTAACGGACAAAAACCCGAAACATTGCCAGAATTTTATGATGTATGTACATATGTACTTGAGCAGAGCAACCCTGCAGATCATGATAACATAGTCTTAGCAATATTAAAGACTAAATTAGAAGGCAAAGCAAATCAAGCACTTAGACACAAGAGTATTCTCTCTTTTGAAGAATTAAGAAACGAATTAGAGTCATTGTATGGTCAATCAGGATCAGCAACCTCATTGCAACTAGAGTTTAACGCCAGTAAACAAAAACCCCATGAAGATGTAAAAACATATGGGCAAAGAGTAGAAAATTTGCTTACAGAATTAATAAAGGCTTCAACGTCTTCAAGAAATAGTCACATGGAAAATCAAGTTATTGAAAGATTATTAAGAAATCAAGCCCTAGGTATATTTGAACAGGGACTACACGATAGAATTCGAATGATAGTCAAAGCGAATCATTATGAAACACTCCAGGCGGCAATTACTGGAGCAATAGAAGAAGAAAAAAGTAGTGGAACTCGTGACTCCATTATGGCTAAACGTTATTCCGGACAGGAAAACACAAGGAGGACTATGCCCCCTACTTGCAGCAAATGCAATCGAATAGGATATTTTGCTAGAGACTGCTACTCTAAGACAGTAGCACCGCGAAAAAGTCTACCCACTCCTAGCATTTCTAGGGAGATAAACAAATTACAAATAAAATGTAACTTCTGTCACAAATTGGGACATAAAGAACAAGAATGTTGGACTAAGAATAAGCATTTACGTCCAGGAAACTTTAGGCCCGGAAGAAATGAATTCTTCACGCGAGGTAGAAACTCAGCAAAAGAAAATAGGAACGTGAACAATAAAAATTCGGAAAACGAATCAAAACCAATAGAAGCATACGGCGTAAACCATATCAAAGAAAACATGGGAGGAATAAACCTCGTCCAAATAGAAGCGGTAGAAATAGCCGACTCAAAATCCATGATGTTAGTCGACTCTGGAGCAGAAGTCAGTCTAATTAAAATAGGGAAGCTGCACAAATATGCACTAGCCCAAGATGAAGTATTAACCTTAAAAGGAATTGGAAATACCGAAGTAAATACCATATGCAAGATATTGCTAACCATACGCATAGGAGACGCGTGCATTACGCACCTCATGCGTGTGGTAAGAAATGATTTTCCCATTGCAACTGATGGAATATTGGGAAACGACTTCCTCGTGAAGCATCAAGTAATTATCCGAGCAGGCAAATGCCTCCAGTTATACGGAATAACCTGGAAGTTAGAAAACTCCATTAAGAAAATCTCGCTAAAGCCGAGATCAGAAACAATAATAAAAGCTATAACGAAAGATAAAAAGGAAGGAATTATTGACAGAACTGAATTAATGCCTGGTATAATATTAGGTGGTTGTATTACCCAACCAGAATCTGAAGAATACTTGGTCAGCGTCCTAAATACGACCGAGCAAGTGGTCAAACTTGACACTCCTACTGTAACAATCCAAGAATTGCAACATGAGACCGTAGAGACCGATTACCGGAAGGGAACATCAATGTTTAAAATCACTCCTATTCCCTTAGCCAGCAGAATGGCTAAATTACGAGAAAATATAAGGACAGAGCACCTAAATGAAGAAGAAAAGGAAAAATTGATCGAAGTATGCGAAAAATATGACGACGTTTTCTATCTAGAGGGCGACCAGTTGGGATGCACTAATGCAACAGCGCATGACATCCAGGTCAGCCCAGGGACAGCACCCATTAATATCAGACCTTATAGGTTACCAGAAAGTCAAAAGACGGAAATAAATAACCAAGTACAGAATGCTGAATGACGGAATAATCATAATCGACATAGTACCAGTCAATGGAATGCACCACTGTTAGTGGTACCAAAGAAAAGTGATGCGTCAGGCATACCAAAAATGCGTATCGTAGTAGACTTTCGAAAGGTGAATGATGTAACCATCGGCGATTCTTTTCCACTGCCTAATATCAACGAAATATTGGACCAAATGGGTAATGCCAAATACTTTAGTACTTTAGATCTGGCATCCGGATTTCACCAGATCCCAATGAAAGAAGATGACAAATGTAAAACTGCATTTTCTACTTCCCACGGTCACTACGAATATAATCGCATGCCTTTCGGACTGAAAAACGCACCTGCAACATTTCAAAGGTTGATGAATTCCGCTCTTGCAGGAATACAAGGACTCCGATGTTTTGTATATCTAGATGACATAGTCATTCACGCAGTAAGTCTGAAGGAACATAATCTACGACTGGAAGAAATATTTCAAAGATTAAGAAAAAACACTCTGAAACTACAACCAGACAAGTGCGAATTCCTAAGGAAAGAGGTAAACTACTTAGGACACGTAATAACTGAGGAAGGGATAAAACCGGACCCGTTGAAGATAACGGCAGTTCAAACTTTCCCTACTCCACAAAATGCAAAGGACGTTCAATCGTTCCTAGGGTTAGCAGGTTATTACAGACGATTCATCCATGATTTCTCAAAAACTGCTAAACCTTTAACACAGTTACTAAAGAAAAA